CAAGGCATTTGACCAGGAAGTTCGATTTAATGATAATATTGCGTTGTTTATAGGTACCACAACGACTAGGCCTCATCCCCAAACAAGTTGGGGTCGGCTATATTGTGTTGTTTCTAGGTATCTGGAAAGAAATGGAAGGAAAGAAGAAATCAAAGTTTCTTTTTTTCTTCTTTTTTTAGTATAAAGAGAAGATCGGAGTTTCTCCCCTAAGGAATTACTTTGCTGAGAGACAGCTTGTGGTATTTCAACTCAATCTGTCTTTTTTTCCTCCTTCCTTGAGCAGCAAAGTATAAAGTCTGGCTTTTGATCTCCGTCTGCTCTGTCTGTTTGTTAGTGTTGGTATGTAAGTTTGGTATTGAATTAATGATTTTTCAAAAATAACGGTAATTTCTCTTTAACAGAGTTTTTCTTTGGTAAAACACATTTCTGGATAGGCATGAGCTCACAATTAAAGAGAAATGCCTCCTCCCAGAAACTTCTTACATTAATGTCTGGCTTTTGACACCTGGCCTGAACACCTGCACGTAATGGCTAATTATTAAGAATGAGACATTTGGTTGTTTGACCTCTGGTGCATGCTTGCTTGTGAAGAGTAATTCAGGAATCACGAAAGAGTAGCTAGCAAGTAATGAAAGTGAGGCTTGGGTCTTCGCATTGATAACATTGACTGCCTACAAGCTTGGGGCATGAGATTGTTGTTTGGTCACTTGGGTTCAACTTGTTGCAACCAAGAGATGTGTTGGAAGCAGTATTATAAGGGCATAATGCAGCTTTTCTGTAGAGGTAGTGTTGATTTAGCTTTTCTATGTAATATAACTACTGAAGATGTGAGAGATGCTGAGAGCTGATTTCAGTGGCTTGGACTTTTTGCATATGTCAGTCTCTCTTTCAGATGAAGATTAGTCCAAAATTAATTGTTGAAGGCACGCCAAATAGAAATTTGGAAATCTTGGTTGCTCCTTAAGTCGTAGATGTTCTCTGGTAGACACGAATATTCACTTACGATGCAGCTGATTTTTGCATAAGCTAGAGAAAACTCTTAGGTGGAACATGGATTAAACCAAGGTTCACAAACTAGAAACTCATACTAGGTTCATATATATGAATGACCTAAGTCCTGATTTTGTAATTACTGTCTACAGCATCTTGTTTTAAGTTGCTCTGGTTTGTTTATAATTCGCCAACCTGTGGCCTCAGCTTTACCTCAAGATTTCGCATAAATAAGTTTATGTACGGTGTTGATCAGTTTCTGATATGAGTACTTGTGACTTGTTTTTTATCAGGTGAACGCAGACAAAGGAACCGAATCCTCGGTTTCTACTGCTGAGACAATGGATGATGTGAATAATGACTCCTGGACTGTAGATGACAAGTTGAGAAATGTGCTGACAAATATCCTTGTCAATAATGGTAAACTGAGAAAACAGGTGAACTCTGTCATCCGTTATGCTCTGAAAGAGAAACTTTCATCTCCTCCAAGAGAGAGTGAAGATTCTCCAATTGAAACTGTAGAAAGCAAGAACTTAGATAGATGAAGTCCCGTAAATATTGTAAAATTTTGTCGTATCTAGTGTAATCTGCGCCTAATCCCATGAAAAATATCTAGAGCTGACATCCAACATTACTGTTGGTATTGTAATTTCGCGGCACCATTATGTATACTGCTCTAAAGATGCAATAATTGAAGCTTTCTGTAAAATGTACAACTTCATACTTAAAAAGAATCCTATTCATTTAATAAACGAGTATAAGATTTGGATATGTGTTAGCACGTTGGAATTATATGCTTCTTTGTGCTTACATCGCTGCTTGATAAACTATCATTTTCGCGAAAAACTCAAGTTGATATGCATTACACTTCTTAACACTTGAAGATTCCCTTATTGATGTTACAGATCTTCCTTAATTGATGTTCCAAACCCGGTAAATAATGTTCTTATGGCCGTTGGGGACAGGATTTGGACTTGCAATCTTCATTTTACCAAGTCTTGCCCGATGGGCAAATTTTGCCTGTGTTTTATTGTTCACATGGTTTGCCGGCATAATTTGGTATATCTTCTTAAATTGTTGACAAGTCTTGCCCAAGTGGCAAATCATGTTGTGTTGTTCAATATTTTTTGCCGGACGGCTATCTTTTAAATTGATCACAAGTTTTGTTGGATGGGCAAATGTTGGAAAATCAAAAGGATGAAGTTAGCACGGTTTGGACTCTGGATTACGGCTTTTTGACTTGATCGGAGCGATTTATAAGATTAAATAACATTATAATGATTTATTATGTACATAATAATCTGAGGAGAGTATAATCTGAGAAGTCTTCCTTTTTCCTACACTAATTGTCAAATGCTTCTGATACTGAAACAAAAGAACAAATGCATCACATATTGACCACATAACAATGACTTCATAGATCTTTCAAATTCATTTCGTTTTAGTTGGCCGAATTACTGCTTCTAGTTCTTTCAATTTCATTTCGAAGAGATGAATTATACATTAAAAAAAGGAGGAAAAAAAAGAAAGTTTTTGTACCAAACTTTGTGCCAAAAAGAAGAAGATGGAGGAGGAGGAGGAAGCAAGAGAATGAAGAGCATGGAAATGGAAACAGTAATCTGCCTCTAACTAGAAAAATAGCTAAACATACTAGCTAGTGCATGTGATAGATAGAACCAACACCAACTAATAACAAATAGAGCACAAACCATACTGCAGTGCGAACATGGTTTGAAAATAGATTCACCTTGTTGACTTTGTGTATCAACAGAGATAATCATTTAATCAGCATCATCAACAACAACATCAAAAAATTCAGTATAATCCTACAAATGGGGTCTAGGGAGGATAGTGTGTACGCAGACCTCACCCTTACCTTGAAGGTAGAGAATATTTCCGATAGACCTTCGGCTCAAGAGAGACCATTTAATCAACATCAATTCCAACAATTTGTATAGGCCAAATACATCGACAACCCCTCAAACTTGATACAATATTTCATTTTGTTTACAATTTTTATTAAATTTAATAGTCAGAGTTTGTTAAGTATGTAACACAGATCAAAGTGCTCATTCTTGGCAAACTTAGAGAACCAAGACGACTCAGAAATATATTTAAGGGGCAACCTAGTATTTTTAACCCATATTTTTAGCCAACTAGGATGTGGAACTTGGGTTTTGTTATAACTCATTGCAAGTAAAGGCTCGAAACACTGTGCAAGTCAAGTTCGTTAAACTCCCCAAGACGTGTATGCAGTATACGAGGTCAGAGGCGGATCTGTGCAGAGGAATTGGGGTGGTATGTCATCCGGTAGCTCGGGTAAAATTTCATGTAGGTACTGGTACATCACGTAAAAAAACGTTATAAAAAGGAGATAAAAAAGAATGGCACCCCTAGTCACAAAGTGATTGTAGGTGGCATGGTTAAAATCCCCCCTACCAGGCTTTAGGCCCAAGATCGATACCCACTTTTTTTCAGGGGCTTTTGCATCTATACCCGATTTTGGGGTCACAATTGAACCTATACCCATTTTGCAAAAAAGTTTGCAAGCGTACCCACATTTACGATCAACTTCACACTTATCGGGTATGAAGTTAAAAAAAATTAGTCTGAAGTGCAACCAATGGTTTCATGCACTTAACGCTAATAAGCCTAAAGTGCAACTTAAGGCTAATAAGTCTGATGTGAAAAATTGCACTTCAGATGCACTTAAAGCCAAAAAATTTGAAGTGCAACAAACGTTTTCATTCACTTAAGTCCATAAGTCTGAAGTGAAAATTTGCACTTCACATGCACTTACGGCCAAATAGGTCTGAAGTGTAACCAATGGTTTCATGCACTTAAGGCCAGTAAGTTTGAAGTGAAAAATTGCACTTTAGATGCACTTAAGGTCAAAAGGTCTGAAGTGCAACAAACGTTTTGCTACACTTAAAGACCAATAAGTTTGAAGTGAAAAATTGCACTTCAGATGCACTTAAGGCCAAAAGGTGAATTGCAACAAACGTTTTAATGCACTTAAGGCCAAATAGGCCTGAAGTGCAACCAACATTTTTATGCACTTAAGGCCAAATAGGCTTGAAGTGCAAATTGCCCAGAAACAAAAATTTGTTCTTCGAATTATAACAATCCAATATACGATTTAATACTTAAATCTATTCCAAATGAGGTCAAATTTGAAACATAACCTCAAATATCATCGGCAACAAACCCCAATCATCAATTTGTCAAAACAACAATAAATCTAATGAACCCATTTTGCAATTACGAAAAAGAAGAAGAAGAAACCCTAAGCAATAGTAAAAAATAAAGCGTCATAACAGCTCACCATTATAAAACATCATAAACTATCTTAAAATATGTTCACAAACATCATATAAAATCATTGTCACCCAAAAAAGAAGAAGAAGAAGACAAAGGAGGAGGAGGAGAAAGAGGATGAAGTTGTTTAAAAAGTGAGTACAAGTAAAAACTTTTTAAAAAAATGAGTATATGTTAAATGAGTGCCTGTCAAAAATTTTCCTTTTCTCATATTAGCAGAAGCTAAACTTTGCTTTTCCTCTTGGACGACTTGTTTGTTCCCTCTTTCCATTTTCTTTTCTTTTTTTTAATTCCTTTGCTTTGGATATTATTTTTTCCTTTTTATCTAGTTAATGTTAAATATTTTTTTCCTTGATTTCAAATAAAAAATCAAACATTTTTAGTTTGGTAATCAAGTATTTATTTATGCACAAAAAAACCTTCCAAAGAGAATCAAATTAATTCAAAATGAATCGAATCACAAATTAATTTTAAACTACGCGAACCGACCAAATGCACTTCCTAATTCAACTTCATTGACTAGATGGTAATGTACACGCATATCTTACTCTTATCCTAGTGGAGTAGAGAGGTTGTTCCCGATAGACACTCAACTATGGAACCGTATAGAAAGATAGTACTAGCAACCTAAGAACCAGAAAAATAAATGAAAAAAGCAATATTAATAACAAGTAACAATGGCAAGTTACCAGAAAATACATTATACGAGGTTAAATTTGAAAATTGTTATCATCACTACATATAGACAAATAGTTTGCCCCACTATACATTCTGAAAATATGAATGACATGCAATCACATAACAACAGTGGAGAGAGCACAAAACCATACATTCTGAAAAAATGCATTGCCCTTTTGCTTTCATGTGCCTCTTCAACTTACAAATTCAAGCAAGTACATGCATTTTCCATCAGACGTGGCATCCCTTTGTCAAGCCCAGAAATGGGCAAGTACTTGATTTTCTCTCTAGTTTCCCTTTCAGGTCCGATGCGCTACGCCCAGAAAATCTTTAATCAAATTCAATTTCCAAATATCTTTACTTGGAATACAATGATTAGAGGTTATGCTGAGAGTGAAAACCCGTATCCAGCTATTGAAATACACAATAAAATGTGTGTGAATTCTGTTGCACCTGACACACATACATACCCTTTTGTGTTAAAAGCTATTGCGAAGGTGATTGATGTTAGGGAAGGAGAAAAGGTCCATTGCATTACAATTAGAAATGGGTTTGAATCGTTGGTGTTTGTTCAGAATTCTTTGGTTCATTTCTATGGAGCTATTGGTCAAGCTGAGAATGCACATAAGGTGTTTGAGGAAATGTCTGACAAGAATCTTGTGGCATGGAATTCAGTGATTAATGGGTATGCTTTGAATAGTCGACCTAATGAAACGTTGACCCTTTATAGGAGAATGGTTTTTGAAGGTGTTAAGCCTGATGGGTTTACTTTGGTTAGTTTGTTGACTGCTTCTGCTGAGCTTGGTGCTTTGGATTTGGGCAGAAGGGCGCATGTGTTTATGTTGAAGGTGGGATTGGATAAGAATTTACATGCTGCAAATGCCCTTTTGGATCTTTATGCTAAATGTGGGAATGTAAAAGAGGCAGAGCAAGTTTTTGATGAGTTGGAGGAGGATAGTGTAGTTTCTTGGACCTCTTTGATTGTAGGTTTGGCTGTTAACGGGTTTGGTGAGAGAGCACTTGAGCTTTTCAAGGAAATGGAAAGAAAAGGATTTGTTCCTACTGAGATCACATTTGTTGGGGTGTTATATGCCTGTAGCCATTGTGGTTTGGTGGACAAAGGCTTTGCTTACTTTGAAAGGATGCAAAAGGAGTTTGGAATTAAGCCAAAAATTGAACATTATGGCTGCATGGTTGATTTATTAGGAAGGGCTGGTTTAGTGGAAAAGGCGTACAAGTATATTACAGACATGCCATTGCAACCCAATGCGGTGATTTGGCGAACATTACTCGGTGCCTGCTCAATACATGGTCATTTAGCTCTAGCTGAGATGACCAGAAATCACCTTAAGCTGTTAGAACCTAAACATTCTGGAGATTATGTGCTCCTTTCGAACCTTTATGCAGCCGAAAGGCGATGGTCAGATGTGCATAAACTGAGGAGAACTATGCTTAAAGAAGGGGTAAAGAAAGTCCCCGGGCATAGTCTCGTTGAGTTGGGTAATCGTGTGCATGAATTTGTTATGGGAGATAGAACCCATCCTAAAACTGAGGCTATATATACTATGCTTGTGGAAATGACTAGATTGTTGAGATTGGAAGGTTATGTCCCTCATACATCCAATGTGCTTGCTGACATAGAAGAAGAGGAGAAAGAGACTGCTTTGGCGTACCATAGTGAAAAAATTGCAATTGCATTTATGTTGATCAGTACACCACCTGGGACCTCTATTAGAATTGTGAAGAACTTAAGGGTCTGTGCTGATTGCCACCTTGCCATAAAACTAATATCGAAAGTCTTTGATCGCGAGATAGTTGTTAGAGATCGTAGCCGGTTTCACCATTTCACCAATGGATCTTGCTCTTGTAAAGATTATTGGTAAAACGTAATTGTGGGATTGGAACTGGAACTTTGCAAAAGTTGCTGAAATCAGAACGTGGCCTTTAAAAAATATCAAAATCGATGAAAACTACTGCATTCTGCTCAAGGAAAGGTTACCGAAAACAAGACGCAAATATCTGGTCCGTTGCTTGATGGGCAGTTTGAAAACAATTAATGCAACTCTATGCTTTCTGTGGAAGAAATATTCCTCAACCCCTTCTACAGTCTTGTATGTATCATTTTAAGAGATCATCCTGGGTGTCTATGCAAGTCTTGAGAGGATTAGCTACTTTTGTAATAACAAAAAGCGAGGTACCTGACCCTAAGCAAAAGGGATTCAATCTGATGAGCAAGTCCTTCAGTTTCACCAAAACCCTTTAATAACTTCAGGTGATTGCATTTTCATTTCAGCTGGTAAGATTACATACTCATTATTCCTGCATAATCTGCTATATTTAAGATGTTAATACCCAGTTGACAGCTCATGTTCCACCTTGCTGAAGGTATAAATCAAGTATCTGATAGTTCTTGCAGATTCCTTTCAAAACCTGTTGATACACATTCCACTTCAAGTTGCCAGTTACCTACATGGATCCTCAAATTTTGTGCACAAAATAAAGAAATATCTTTTTAAGTGTCTTTGAGGCCCAACATGCTCCCACAACAGCAAGATGCAAGGTTTGAACACAGACCCCTGAAGCTGAAATATCCAGATCTTTTTTGCTTTGTGGAACAAGTTAAAGCAACTATTGCCCATTGTAGATCAGGAAGTCAATGGTGTGTGATTTTAGAAGAAACTACTTTGACTTGGAAGTAACTAACATGGATCAACTAATTCTGGAGTTGGGCAGATCAAGACGTTTAGGAATCTCTGGAAATGGACCAGCAGTATCCACGTCACAGTCAACTCATACTATAGAGTACTTAATGAGGGTGAATCTAGCTCTGCACAATGGCCATGGAATATGATCTGGAAACTATGGCTCAATACAAAACTTCAGTTGGTTTTTGATGCATGATGCATGTTTGACTAATGGCGGCATAGCTCTAGAAACCAGACAGAGATCATTCACGGGGTGGGCAAAATTTCTTGGTTTTTGTTTTGATGATTTCTGTTTGCTCCTCTTTTCTGTGTTGCAGAGAGAACCAATTACATTGTCCACTTTGAGTTCTCCAAGTAGCATTGCTCCATCATTGATTCCATCAAAACTGCTGATCCTCTTTTCGCTGGCCAACATTCTGCTGAAAGCTCCTATATTCCTATGGTTCTTGAAGCTCAACCCGTCTTCTGGCCAGAATATGCTAGCTTTAGGGATGATGATACACCTGAAATCCCAAAAAAGGTGGAAGGAATTTATTGTGAGGGGACGGATTTCAATTCTTTGATGTGCAACAGGAAACTCGTTGGGGCGATTTATTTCAATCAATTTGGCAGCTAATCCTAGTGTGAACATTTCCATTAATTCTGCCAGGGATAGTTCTAGTCATGGCACACATCTAGCCTCCATTGCTGCTGGAAACTATGCTCAATCTGCTCCGTACTATGGATATGCCAAAGCAACAGCATGAGGAGTTGCTCCACATGCTATGCTGGCTATTTACGAGGTGACCTGGACAGAAGGAAGCTATACCTCGAATTATCTTACTGGTATGGATCAGGCTGTTGCAGATAGTGTTGACAGAATATCCATTTCTCTTAGGTACTGAATTACTCCATGATATGAAAAGATTCTATAGCAATTGCCTCTTTTGGTGCCATGCTGAAGGGGGTCTTAGTTTCTGCTGCAGCGAGACCAATGGTACCATGCATGTCAGTCTTAGGAGCCTGGCCTTGTATTATATGTGCAACTGGCAACTGCACCAGCACAGAATTAGAATATGAGTACTTTCTTCAGTCAGGCGTATCCATGTCCTGTCCTCATGCTACTGGAATTGCTGCCATGCCAAAAGTTGTGCATCCAGATTGGAGTCCATCAGCTATCACCATGAAGGTGTGAACCTACTTAGGCAGCACTTCAAACCCCATCATTGATTTGGACAACAATAGCCCACAACGCCATTAGGCATCGGAGCAGGACATGTTGATCCGAATCGTGCTGTGGATCCAGGATTAGTAATATATAATCCTACTTCTCATGACTGAATCTTCTATGCTCCATGAAACCATTGCAAGATCATCAGTTAGTTACAACTTCTCAAATCCATCTTTTTATCTCATTTACCCATAATTTATTGCCTTATATGAGTATAGCCTAAAGAGGGAAACTTCCCTTGGGTGGTGGTGAAAAAATTCAAAAGGACTGTTACCAATGTTGGGGCTGGTACAGCTATGTATATAACGTAAAGTTGGAAGTGCCCAAGAATTCTACAATATCAGAACAACTTAACGAGCTCGTTATAAAAGGTGCCTGTTATGATAATATAAAAAACCTTGTTCGTCAATGCACACAACTTAAAGTCGATTTAATTGGTGTGCTACACTCTTCTACTACCGTTCTTGCAAGAGTTAACCATAGTTGTCCACCAAATTTCATATGACGATTAAGAAATCAGAATAATCATGTCAGCAAACAATCTAAACAGTCAACACCAAACAACAAATGCTAGAACTAATGTTTAATTGAATAAAAATATGGTAGAATATTATTTAAAAATGAATCGCATCAAGTAAATTAGATAGAACAATGTATGGTCAAACCCAGCTTCTGTCATGGCACATTTTCAGTCAGCTTTTACAAGAAAATCTCAAACAATGAAATTTAACTAATCATGAAACTGAAAGAACCATATGAAAAAAAGAAGAATAGCCAACAAATGATAAATGGAAACCAAAATTTGAGCATCGGTCAACCAAACAGCTGTGATTTTTCTCATCGGCATCATCTCTTCTTGACAGAAATCAATCTAAGGATTCACATATCTACAAATAGAACAAAAGACAATATAAATCATGAATCTTGATTTTGATGAAAACAGCGATGAATACAAACAATTTGAATCACCAATGGCAATAGTTAGCAGAAAAATACTTATTCGCACCCGATGTTTATACCACTTCAATAAGTACAGGACATGTTTTTTTTTTTACATATATTGCTATCACAACCATAGTTAATTAATACACATTCTCATGTCATTTTTATCACTTAACCCGCGCGGATAAGTTTCCTCATAGTTAGCTTCAATAGATCAGTCAATGAAAACTGATTTTTGATCATTTTCTCTTACTAATAGTAAAGAACTAGCCTGTCAAAATAAGAATCAAAATAGGCACAGACAACATGGCGAGAAGAACAAGAAAACCAAATTCAAGTGTTGTTTCAGCGAACACTTATATCTACTTATATGCAAATTACAAGATAGCTAGGAACTATAATTTGTTCCTTAAACTGAATTTAGGAAGAAAATGACAAGGTGTACCTCATCAAGAGTCTTCTAGTTCCCGCGGTTCAACTAGAATATACAGAGGCTTTCCCTTTAGCCTACTTTGCCCCTGAAACGCGGAGAAAAATTAGACGAACAAGAAAAAAAAACTTGCAAATTATGCTGCACAAAACAGATGATTCAGAGCTCAGACTGTATAAAATTCCAACAAAAATGAAGTGATAAAAACACCTATTGGAAATAAATTATATTCGCCACTGAATAAGTATCTCCGTTTCCTAAACATCCTAAATTCCATTACCGAAAAAGAGTAGTAAACTGAGCTTGTCTAGTTAGCATCTCAAGAGTATTAAATTTGAACAGCAGTAGGGCAGATGTAGTATTTATTTATGAGATTTGCAGATGAGATCTAGTTTCTGTAGGCAATAACTATTGCATGCCAAGGAAACCGGTAAGGATATTTATTCTTTTCAATCATAAAAAACTGAAAGAACAAATGCCAACAAAGTATATTTTCAGTAATTTCTTTTTTTTCTTTTTCTGATGACCAAAGGAAATCCGTCTGGAGCCAACTGTTTGAACCAAACGCAGCCTTTGAAACTCAGGGATAATGGGCTCACCCTTCTACCCTTCACTTAAATACCAGAGTTAGTTCGCTTGGTGCACGCTCGAACATGTGACCTAAAACACAAGTCCCTCAACTTTTGACATCTGAGCTAACCCGGGGGGGGCTACTTTTAGTAGTTCTTTTGGACTTCTTTCTATCATTTTTTATGTAACTTGTAGCAAATTTCATGAAAAACACACGAAAGCCTAAAAACAGTTACTTTCCTTCAACAAAAGTTTGCATTGATTAACAAATTGTTTCAAATCTCAAAATATACAAAGCAAAGTCAAAGAGAATGATAAGTAAACACTACCTTGACCTCTGGCACTCCGATAACGCAACCACACTCAACCACTTCAGCCCCCATCCGTTCTACATTGTAGTAGAGAAAACATCATTAGCTAAGCCCAAGAACGAAGAAACAATCAGAGTCACAAAAGTTACCTAGAAGTTTAATTGCAGCAGAGAGCGTTCCACCCGTAGCTACCAAATCATCAAGTATGACTGCTCTATCCCCTTGCTGTACAGCTCCAACATGCATCTCCAAACAATCTTTCCCATACTCCAGTTCATATGATTCTGCAATTACCTTACCTGTCCAATGTTGTCAATGCTGAGATAAGACTTTCCAAAAATAGTAGTCAAACATTAAAAAGGTTTCCTTTTCAAGACCAGCCTTTAAAGCAATCCTCAATGAAGATAATTTCCATATCTGGACCATACACCAAGATGGAATGGGCAGCATAGAGGTAGAGCCCAGTAGCATGTAAAGATATTATGCATGATATTAAATATACTGTCAGCGACAAAGTAAAAGAAATTTGAACACATCCTATCCTACATGAAATTAGTTTGTTTAATCAACTACTTCTTTTGAAAGGGAGTCTTGACGTAACTGGTAAAGTTCCTGCCATGTGACCAAGAGGTCATGGGTTCGAGGAATGGAAACAACCTCTTGCACAAATGCAAGGTAAGGCTGTGTACGATAGACTCTTGTGGTCCGGCCCTTCCCTGGACCCCCGCATAGCGGGAGCTTAGTGCACCGGGCTACCCTTTTTTAATCAACTACTTGAGTTGATCCATTTCTTATCCTGTTCTCTTTGATAAATCTTCTTATCTGATGAACAAAAGATGAATCACAAGATACTGACTGTGACTTCGATAGTTAAGATGAATCCGAAAGCAAAATTCTAACATTAACATGAAATTATCACAACATTTCCACCAGAAAAAGGAGATGCATTACTGATAATTGAGTGCTCCTCATAATGAAAAGAAGTTCTAATTTCTAAAGATTATTTAGAAAATCAATCTAAAATACCTGGCAATTTTCCTGGCTTGCGTAAAGGAACAAACTTTGCACCAATGGCAAGAGCTACAGATGGACCAAACATGAACCCTCTAGCTTCAATTCCTATAAAGTAATTTGGCCATTAGTGAAAAATGAGGAAAAGAAATTAAAAAGTTTGAAAATTGGTAAGGGTGAAGAACAATTTTTCCTAATATCCTAACATTATGGAAAACACTATCATACTACAATTAAATAATTCTGACCAAATGCACTGTATCACCAAAAAACACAATTAACTGTCTCTCTCATTGAATAAAATATTTTAGAACTCAGGAAAAATCCAAAATTACTTAGTCATGACACTCAAAGATAATTGCATTTTGTCATATAAAAAATTAGGCAGGTGCTTAAATACACTTCAATACAGCTTCCAAATCAATCCAACACAAGTAATTTATGCTTTAAAAAATGTATTCCACACTTAATTTCCTTAAAAAAAGAGTCTTCATTTTAATGTGGAATAATGACTTAATCATCAATGATTAGTAAGAAAGGACCAAAAACAAGAAGAAATAACCTAAATTTTTTTAGTGAAATTAATACAGTGAAAGAAAAAATGTTTCCATTTGCATACACAAGAAAAACCAGATACACATTCTAATAGTTAGAAAGCAAGAGAAGAGATTTACCAGCAACAGCAGAGATGTCCATGTCTTTGTACCTATCAACAAATATGTCCACTGTGTCTTTAAATACCTTATGATTCAACAACAAAGTTGTAATATCCTGAAACATTATTCCTGCAAAAACAAGAAAAAAATAGTATTAAAAAAAAGACATGCATAGCAAAAAATAAGAAGAAAGGTCGGTTAGAAGGTTCAAGAAAGGACCGCACCTAAAGTGTGTGATGTAGCATGATTGCATTAGTGGTTGCTTTCACGGCGATCAAATGTTGAGTATATGGATTCTAGAATCTAGGACATTATAAGTTACCGGATCCTCGGTAGATTACTTACATATATTAATTAGATTTTTTTAAGACAAATACAGGACTTGAGCGGCAGCTAAGAGACAATAGCTAGACTTGTGGATATAAGTAGTGACTTATAGATCATACAAAGAAAATTTTACCGTTGCGTGAAAGCTACTTTCACGTAACAAGAAAAAATGGGAAAGAAAAAGGGGGCAAAATGCAGGTAGAAAAATGAAAACTACCTGGTTTTGGGAAATCAGGAACAACTCTAATGGCTTCAGAAATGCCCTGAAGTCTAGAATCTCCTTTGAGTCCATTTTCAGCTGCAAACATCTTCTTGAATTTTTTTTTTTCTATGTGAGAAATTAAGTGGTCTCTGTTTCTCTCTGTATATAAGAATAGAGCAAGAGGAGAGGAGGAATTCTGTTGTTTCTTTAATAGTCAGGAGAAGCAGTGTACTTTCTCACTCTTCAATGTCTTTTAGGAAGGTTTGGTTTGGTATGCACTTTGTTACTTCCAACAGGAAATAGAGTAGTTGGTTCTTAAATTGCATTTCTTTTCCCTCTCAAAGTAAGATAATAATAAAAGGATCAAATCTTTCTCTCTTTCTATCTTTTGGTGGTGTGCATCAAACACAAGTGGTTTATAAAAAAAAACACAAGGGGTTGTTTGGTTTAAAGATAATAAAATTATAGTGATTTTTAATAATATGGTGGAATTCAATAATCTCTTCACTTAATTATTTAATCCGAGCACTTTGTTTGGTTCAATTAATTAAATTGAGATATATTACCTTCGTTTCAATTTAGATGACATATTTCGCTTACCGAAAGTCAAATTACGTTAAATTTGACAAACATTATAAAATATACTTTTTAATCGTATTAACATGAGAAAATTTGCAACTTATAGTACTTTTTGTATAGTTTTTGAATATCTAAATTTTAATTTTAAAATACTGAGCTGAATTAATCTAATTTAGCTTCAAAATTTAGTAAAATTGACTCGATAAGAAAAATGTGTCGTCTAAATTGAAACAAATGGAACACTATGTATAATTCGAAATATATGTTTGATTTGAAACTGAATAAACTTGGATGAAGTTATTCCAAGTAACAATACGATACAGTACAATGGGTAACGACTATCCAAGCAGGATGTAAAGATTATCGTTTGGTTGCCGGGATAACGATACTAATTTCGAGATAGAATATAGAATTATATTTAACTTATTGTTGATAATGAGTATTAGTTAATGATCAGATAAATTTTATATCAACACAGTAGAATTAGTTATCTCATATAGAAAGTGAGATAAACTAATGGGATGGGACAACACATGGGAAAGAATTTAATGTTTATATATCGAAAGGCAAAAAAAAAATTATATGATTAAATTAAATTATAATAGGCAATCTTTACAATAAATATCAACTGATAACCAGGTAAAAATATTAGCTTACTAGTTATAACGGATTAAACGATTAATTTTAGGTTTTTTTTTTTATAATACTACTATATAGAGCTTAAATTTAATGATTATTATAATATTGTTGTTTTCGGCTGGCCAAACCAAAACAGAGGACTCCCGAGACTGACACAAAAAAGCTGGACTAAAGTAGTAAGATACATGGAAAAGAAAGATCAGGTTAAAAAGAAATATGCACAACTTTTTACACAATTATTATATTGCGTATTAATTAATTAATCCTAGAAAGAAATGTCGCTCATTCTCAAGAAACTTCTGACTTCTGAGCATGTTGTAGTTACTAGGACGCGGGTTGACCAGTTTTTCAGAAATTTGTTTAAAGAAATTCATTCGAATTTTTACACATTATTTTATTAGGAAAATGCTAATGCTGTAGTAGTATTTTGTTTTAATAGTGGAGTATGTGTTAAAGTTAAAATACAACAACATATGACTATTAAAGATAAAGTTCAACAATAACAACAAACTCACTATCATCCTAGAAATAGAGTCGAGGAAGAATAATATGAACGCAGATCTTATCTCTACATTGTGAAAATAGAAAAATCGTTTCAGATAAACTCTCGACTCAAAAAAAACAGTGAAGATAAAACAACAAACAATAGCAACAACTTAATAGGATAACGGAAGTGAAATATGTTAAAGTTAAGATGATTTGTATAAATAGTTTTATTATCATGTTATTTTTTATCTTGAAAAGGTTTTTTTTTTTTTTTTTTTTTTTTTTTTTTTTTTTTTTTTTTTTTTTTGCTTTTTGTAAAGCTTTTTCAGAAAACAACATCAAAAAAAATATGTTTAGAAGACATTTCAAAAATATTTCACTTTCAAACATAACAGTCAGATTAATATTTCTCTTCATGCAATATCCTTGACTCTGAATTGTTGACAAAAAGGAGAAACATATGCAGTTTCATCTGTTTAAATTTAAATTAAAACAATGATTTTGAAAAGTTTGAGAAAAAGGAATCTGGAGTGACTGTGTTTAGTGCCCACCAAATTAAAATCTGACTTCTAGATTACTTGCTATTTAATGTGTGCTTTTATTTCTTCCTTAATTTCTCGAAGTATAATTCTCTATTTCGCATCCCTACAACTAAAAAAAATGCTACTAAGAATTTTTGCCTAACAAAATCCACACCGTCCAATGTCATTTTCTAGTTTTCAATCTGCTACTAAAATGAATCTCCGAGTCTAATTTAGCATTATAAGAGTTAACTCACCAAGTAAGAAAGGTCTTAACGATATGAGAACAGAGACGAATCTAGCATTATCAAGCAAGGTTCAACTGAACCTATAACGTTCGACGCAATATATAAATTTATGTATAAAAATCTATTAAAACTATAGCAAATAGTAGTAATTATGAATATATAGTTTTAAAATACAATGGATTTAAAGTTAAAAACCTTAAAAGATTGATATATATAGTTCTATTTTTAATAGGCCATGAACTAGACCAGAATCATTCTCAACGGAGTCCATAAAAAGTGATCCTATTTTTTTATCGGGTCCGGAAAAAATCAAAGATCTCGAGCGAACGATCCGACAAATCAACTCAAAAGATATTGAAGTATCGTTAATCTTTTCATAATCGTTCCAAGCTCAAAGTACTATTAATACAAGAATCCTCTTCGTTACATAATTTCTTCTTCGTATAGATAGATATAGGATTTATGAGACAATTAGATAGAAGTACATTTTGCGCTACAACCTTTCTTCTTTCTTCTTATCTAATTAAAAAAGATATAAAGTTTAAATTCTGAATTTATCTATATTGATTATTTAAAATATAATAATTCACTCTTTTAATTAATAATGTGACACAACTTAATATAATACCCATATACGGTAAGGTTAAACAACTGAAGTGTTAAAATCACATATTCTTCTGATAAATTTCGTCAATTTGTCATATAAACCAAAAGAGAAGGAGAATTCGAATTGGGACGTAGGATACCACAGTGGGTAGGAGTGCAGAATAGCAGGTCTGCATGGGTCTGTGTAGGCTTTTTGTGGGAAACGAGGTAAAGGTTAATTTGGTCTTTTAAGACAAGTTGACGGCTGTAGACAGGCAGAGAATCAAGCAAGATCAGCTTTTCTGGATTCGGGTGTGGTCCCCCAAACTTCACTTTTTACTCTTTTTTACACTTTTTATGTCGTCGCACTTCTTTAATACGTACTGGTAAACAATCTCCATCATCTACGTGTTATGCTTATCTGGATATTACATCCATAATAATTGATTTTTTTTAATTATTTTCACACAAATTAATAAATTTATCTTTTAACATTAGTAATAAAATTCATCATATTAACATTTACTATCTCTTTACATAAATACCACAACACTATTTATTCCAAAGGCAATATAGGAAAAAAATAATTAATTCATTCTTGAAATCTAGAAAAATGAGATACTTTTGACTACAAGAAAAAAATAATATTACTTATTGTGTACCGGAGGGAGTGTGTTACAAAAATGGTTTTCTTTATTTATACCTACTTTTTCAAATTTAAAACTATTCTTTAAAAAAATTTGAACCTCATTTTCAAAAAATTCAATTAAACTAGCGTTTGGCCATAAATTCCCAAATTTGTTTTGAAAAATATGATTTGGGTGAAATTTGATTTGAAGATGAAAATGTGTTTGGACATTAGTTTTCAAAACATATTTTATTTTATAAAAAAAAAAAAAAAAACATGTCTTATACCCACAAGTTCTAAAAACTATCACAAATACCTAACAGTATCTTCATCAATAACATTTATTATATTATCACAAATCATAGTCCTGAACATAAATAAATTTGGTACAAAATTATTATTTTTATAATGAACTACATAATAGACTATCAGATGACCGAGAAGACGAAGCATCATTGTTACAAAATAATAAATTGTGCACTCTTTTATAAAATATAAAAGTTTAGGACAATTTTTAAAAAATAAAATAGTAATATTTTGGGCCAAAACCAGCTCTTGAGTTGGTTTTGGGATTTGGGTTTTGGGTTTTGAGAATTTGCCAAAATATTGATAAAATTTATGAACAAATATGTATTTGCCAAAACAAACCCAAATATATTTTGGCAAAATCTATGGCCAAACAGGTCCTAAGTATATAACCAAACACGGATTTGAAAATATTTTTTGAAAAAGTAAAAAATTCATTCCAAACGGCTCCTAAGGACACGTTTGTCCATATTTTTTCCTTTTATCTTAAACTCATCTTCAAAATATTATTTGGTTATACATTTAACTAAATATTTTAACCTGAGTTTCAAAAAATTTGAAGATGAGTTTCAAGACTGAAAAAGTGAATTTTACCTTTTTTTTAAATAACAAGTATTTTCTTCTCATAAAATTACAATATTCTTTCAACTGAAAATGCATGTTCAAATATTATTTTTTTCAAATTTCACATTTCTTATGTCCAAACGCCTTCTTTAAAGACAAGATTTTACTATTACTGTGGATCTTGAAATGTCACGAACCAAAATCTCACCCGTTGTGATGGCGCCTATCTCAATACTAGGCAAGCCGACAATCTCAATAAAACACCATATCTTTTAAGTTTGAAAACATAATATCTAAATTTAACGGAAGAAAAACTCACAAATACATATATAAACACTCCCAAAACCTGGTGTCACTGAGTACATGAGCATCTAATATGAATACAAGTCTGGAAAATACGGTCCATAATTGTCTGAGACCAAATGCAGTAAATAAGGAGATAGGGAAGGAGGGGCAAGGTCTGCGAAATACTGCAGCTACCTTAGAATCTCCGAAAACTCAACCGTGCGAAAGAATCAACACACGATATGTCCGGAAACACCTGGATCTGCACACGAAGTGCAGGGTGTAGTATGAATACAACCAACTCAGCAAGTAACAATAATAAATAAGGAACTGAAGATAGTGACGAACTACACAGTTATAGTTTATTTCCAGTAATTCAAGCAAAGAATAGACATGCTTTCAAATCCGGCAATTTAAGTCAAATCAATTTTATACAATTCAAGTTCATGTAATCCGGATATAAAATCTTTCAGAGAATTTCACAACAATGACAGATAGCAACTAAGTACAACAACAAATGAAAAACAAGTATAGCCTCTCAGGGCAACAGT